GCGTATAACTTCGTATACCAACGTGCCTGTTCTCAAATTGCTACGAATACGTTGTCAAGCGTCAAAGGGACTATGCGTAATGTATACAAAAGCTTTGCCATTTTGAGATATAGAGCACACTATTTCCGACCACAGAAAAGCATTGCACTGGTCATAAAAACTCGGTCAGCACTTCACAACTCAAAGCTAGAGTTCAGCTATCCGAACGAGCCTTCTTTGATATGCCGTGACCCCCGGTGACCTCACATTTGTCCTAAGGACAACAATGTGGTGTGCAATCTCATGATTTCATGAGATCTTAACATCAGTATTTTTGTTTTTCCCGGCGTCTTGCAGTTGGAGATCTCAGGGGGAAGCCCACTTCCCCTTGTCCAGGCGCAGTTGGAGATCCCAGGGGGGGGGGGAAGCCCGCTTCACTTTGTGCGGGCACAGTTGTCTCATCCGGGCGCGGCTGTCTCAGACCCCGTCCGGGCGCAGTTGTCTCAGACCCCGTCCGGGCGCAGTTGTCTCAGGCCCCGTCCGGGCGCAGTTGTCCAGACCCCGTCCGGGCGCAGTTGTCTTAGACCCCGTCCGGGCGCAGTTGTCTTAGACCCCGTCCGGGAGGAGGTTAACGCGCTCGCTAGTAGCAACAGGCACTTACATTAATTAAACAAAAGCCGGTTCAGAAAGGGAACAAGACGGCGGCGTTTGATACGGTGTTAGGACATCCCAGAAAATAATGTTGAGATGCTCCGCTCCCACCTTGAACACTCAGACCGCAGCTGAACACAGTTGAACTGGTGCAGAGCACCATACCGCCTGCCAGCGTCCAACACCCCGCCAGTCACCTCCTGGGAGCGGTGCGCCAGTTCGAGCCGTCTTTCGCAACTTGGTGTCGCCGTGAATAATTGCGTAATTTGCATATTAATGTGGCAGTCAGCGCTCGGGCTTCAGGCGCTGAGAGGTGGTTTATACAGCAGCAAACGTTTTGCAAAAGCGGGATCCCTACAGCCCTGAGAAGCACCGCGTGGTCTTGAGGGAGTTTTGGACTGAAACGAAACGACCGGGAGGATTTTTATCGGAGATGAGGACGTGTGATCCGGCAGCTTTGGTGTTCTGATCTCTGTTGCTAACGATTCAGTTGATGGCGTCCATCATGGTGGTCTCCATGAAATGTGGTTGGTGGTTTGTGCACTGGGTGCTTGGAGACAGAATCATTTTTGCACAGGTATACCACGCATTTGGTGTGCACAACCAGCTCTGTGACTATCTAGACGTGACAAACGGTATTGACCGGTGTGTAGAGCTATTACAGGCCACTTTTGTAGCACACATGAAGGGCATAAGTGTTCCTTTAAAAAGCGCTCGGGTAGGAGGTCAATCCCCTCCCCCCCCCCCCCCGTCCCCGAAGGATTTTGTGCAAAATGATCTCCTAACGGCGCGGCATGGCCGCGCCAGATTTCGCAATGCTATAGCCAGTTCAATAGCGGACCTCTTGGTGTACAAAATTATTGCATCTTGTAATGCCGTTGGCCTATGGCGGGCCAAAGTCAGGTCACGGCTGTCAGCGATTGCTATGTCTACGGAACGTTGAGGATATACATATCTGAGATAGTTTCTTATGCAACACAATAACTAAGTGACAAATGCCATTGACCCACGGTCAGGTATCAAGATCAGATCGGAGTCAAAACTAATCTGCAGTTTTACTGGAAAGCTTGCTGTATGGGGCAGCCTCTGGTGCCCATTTTGAATAATTTTATCAAAGGGGCGCATGATACATCTTTCATCGACTTCTTTAACGTCAGAATAAGTCACTGACCTGAAATGACCCAGGTCAACAATTTGTTTTTAGGTACATAACGTCCATCGTAATCCTTGCCACCAATTAAACTGCAAAAATTAAAGCTCTCTTTTATTATTTTGGTTACTATGACCTTGTAAAGGTCAAAGGAAGTCACTGACCTTAAATCAATACCAGTGACATTTTCCTGAGAACATGTATCTAAGGTCACGGTGGTTGCATGATGAGGTCCGGTTCCACTTCGAACACCAATCTGGAGCAAGACTTGACACAAATGAGTCTACATAAACGTCAACCCACCTTATCAATTTTGCATCACTAGCTCTGTTCATTTGTTATATCTCAGGGACAAATTGACCCCGACCCGGACGAGGGTTATTCAACCGGTTACCAGGACGTATGTTAAAGCAGCGGAAATGCTGTGATTTCAAGGCCGAAGAATTGGCCAACAACGTAAAGACACTTCTTTAATGAACACAGTAATAAGAGCGCTTAATACAGGAAGAGAGAGTACAAGTACTAAAAGCCAATGTGCCGCAAGTCATCAACTTGTTGCAAGTTGCTACAATAACAAGTTTCTCACATTATTGATATGATGCAAAAATAGACAATACAAAATGCAAAATAACTTAGTGACTGCATCACGCATTACGCCTGAGATGTTATCGCACAGCTGTTGGTTGCTCGTTACTGACAGGCTAAGACATTGCATGCTCAGGATGCTTGAAACAGGATGATGATACGCGCACTGTGCAGCCATGTCCGCCACGGACCGTCACTGTCATGTCCATCACGGACCGTCACCGTCATGTCCGCCACGGGCCGTCACTGTCATGTCCGTCACGGGCCGTCACTGTCATGTCCGTCACGGGTCGTTCAGGTGATATGTCACAGATATGCAGAAGTCAGTGTTTTGAGCCGGACAAAAAAGTTTGGTACGCGGTGATGAACGAAAATCTACGAGACGCATTAGCCAATGAAGTATTGGCAGATTTTCGGGCCGAGCATCGCGGAACATTTTAAACGGAATATAAATGCAGAGGGTTTAACGTCATTCACCTAGCAGCACCTCGGCATTTTTTGCCGTAACCGTCTCGGAGTTTAAAAGTATTTCTCACTTGGAAGAATGCTAGTGCGTATACCAGTGGTCAATGGCATCAACCATTTGTTAAGCTGATATCGGTAAAACAACAGCTCACGTCATTGGTGGCGATGTAAACCGCCGAAATATGTTAACATGCTCAAAGCATCGGAATTTGTGGGTGAAAATCGCTTGATCAAGCCCGCACAATTTTAAACATCATAATATGGAGGCGACAGAGAATCACGAGGCACATGCCAGTATGTGGAAGCATAATTCTGTCGCGATCTCCTGTTTGGTAACCTTGAGTTTGGTGCGTGTTTTCAATGTAAAGGCAACAAACAATCATGAGACGGGTGTCTACGCACACCAAAGACATGCGGGATGTCTAAAGCATGAGCAGCAGCCACGTGGTAAGCGATGACGAATGCAGCTTCAACGTTTGTTGCAGACGTTGGTGTGGCTTAGGGACGCGCATGTTGCTCCTATACGTGGCCATTAACACGCTCGTTAACGCTCATGTGTGTTAGGTATCGCATAGCTTTATCAACATGCTTTCAGCTTCCTCATTCAAAATATTAGCTGACGTAGAATCAAATCAGACATCTATCTATGAGAGCAGTTGTTCATCACTAGTTTCTGCGCATTTTGCTACTGACATTCTGGACATATGCTTCAATATGCGCTCATACCGAACTGATTCCGGGTGCATCATACGGATACGTTTAAACAAGTGAATAATACCTGTTTAACACTGATGCACGATACGTGAAGGTTTCATAGTGCATCGCAGCTAGCACATGGTCGAAAGGTTTGCTAATTGATGATACGCGGCAATGCCATTGTTATCGTGGCCGATTCTTCTTAAACGATGACTGCAAGAAAATGACAAGCCCAATGCACAGAAGACGTAGGAAGCTTACGAAAGCGCGATGCAAACCTTTGTGAAGACAGACAGAGAGAGAGAGAGAGAGAGAGAGAGAGAGAGAGAGAGAGAGAGAGAGAGAGAGAGAGAGAGAGAGAGAGAGAGAGAGAGAGAGAGAGAGGAGAGAGAGAGAGAGAGAGAGAGAGAGAGAGAGAGAGAGAGAGAGAGAGAGATGTTATTTGTTGTAGATATCATTTGTTGTATGCATAGATAGATAGATAGATAGATATATATATATATATATATATATATATATATATATATATATATATGTATGTATATATCATTTGTTGTATGCATAGATAGATAGATAGATAGATAGATAGATATACATATATATATATATATATATATATATATATATATATATATACATATGTGCATAATTTTATATATATACGTGCATATACATAGATACATATATATATATATATATATATATATATATATAATTGTATATATACATGCATATACATATATATATATATATATATATATATATATATCGTGCATTTTTTTCCTTCCTGCGTCCAATTCTTTTCACCTCCCTTTCTTTCTCTCCCTCTCTTAGACAATCTGGTGGAACCCATCACTTAACAACCAGACCTAGGGACCCGTTTCTAGAACCCACGCACATGTCTGAATTCAGACTGAATGTAAGTATGGCATTGACCAGATGGTGTATATTGTGTGTATCTGTATCTAGCTGTACATGTTGGCTTTAAGTTCAGGAGAGAGAAGTTGATAACGGAAATGCTGCGAATTGATAAATGACGAATGATTAAAACGGGGGAAAAATATAATTGGTGCAAGTTTATGACTTGGGAAATTATGACGGAGCATGCTAATCAAAAGACACTTTCTACCACGTAAACTGTATCACAAAAGTCGTGAGCTGATATAAATAGCAATGCCATTCGCTGACTGTTGGAGGAATCTTAGTGGTCATGTTTCACACGTCGTATTCACGACGAACGACCAATAACGGTGGTATGTGACGGCGAGGCTACGATTGATTGCCGCATCCGGGTGTTCTTCTTTCGTACTTATTTGTTGGCGCGGGATCCCCGCTTTTCGTCACCGGAACGCGCCAAAACCTGCGGACTACCACGCTTGGAGCATGATAGTTACCATCACCAGGTGAAGTCCTCATCGCATAATGTCCTCTTTTCTGGAAGCCGCCATGCTGATGTCATACTGACCACCCCTACCTGTTGGATGCGTGGGAGACGAAGCGGTACGACGTTCCCTGAAGTGAACACCTTGTGTCGAATCGCCACACACCAAGTACATCAGCAGCCGAAGCCAGGTCGCCACAGTCCACATGGCGGGCGCCGCGCACCGTTCCCGCCGCGGCCCTTCGAGCCGACACCGACCGGGGCCGACAGAGCCGCCCCAGCAGGCGGGCCCGCACGCCACGCCGCACCGACACGGGCCAGGCGCGCCGCCCGGTCCGCGGACCCAGCCGGCCTGCCGACGCGCGTCTTCTGCCGGCGCCGCGGGACAGCGCCTCCGGAGAGCCTCGGGCGACGACCTGGGCGCCGCCGTGCGTGTGACGCGTCGCAGGCGGCGGCACCTGTGGCACTGAGGCGGCGCCACGCCGTCTGGTGCCGCGCGGACCGCCCAACAATCAATCCGCCGTCCGGCGCCCCGCGTGCGCCGCACCATCCCAGTGGCGGCCAGCAGCGGCGCATCCGCTCTTCAGGCAGAGGGATGCAGCAGCGGGAGGACTGACGAGGGCGACGGGTGATGGAGGGCGGGGCGATACAAATGTGACGGGCAGGTCGCCACAAGTGCAGCTGCCATCGGTAGGCCCTCTCGTCCAGACGTAAGGTTTGGTAACGTGTGCATATGCTTGGCGTCTTTGTGTGTATCACGTGCTGAGGCTCCTGTTCGGCATGTTTCTGATTTTAATCACATTTCCGTTCTCTGAATTTCCCCTCAATTCTCTGCCCGGCGATCCGCTTTCCTTCCCGGAAATATCGAAGCCTTTGCAATCGGTTTTGACGTACAAGGTCTGAAATGAAAACGTAGGATGAACTGATCCTTGATTTGGATGATAGTTTTAAGAGAGATGTCCCGCATTTTCGGGGCATATTTCAAATCATGCTCTGGTGAAACCTCGGGACCAGTTAGTCTATTAATAGCACTGAGTAGTGTCGCTGTAGCATCATCAAGATATAATGGGCAGATTTGTTTTAATTATTTTAGGGTCTAAATTACGCTTTCAACGTTTTGTCACGGCACTGCTCTCTTTCATCACTGACCCAGAGTACAGCCGAAGTTCACAAGAACTGATGACGGCAAAGTCTGCTGAGGGCCGTCGTCAGCTTTTATAGACTAGAGGTTCTACTTTTGGGTTGTTTTAATGTGCACATTGCCGGCCTGCATGCCTAAAAGTTGTGCATCTACTGGCATTAAACGTCAGCACAAATTAACGTTTATAATTCCCACAGCGAGCGGTGAAGGTCATTTATCGAGAAACGCATTGGTTGGCATCGGTCGATGTTTGAGCCAGTGCGCCACTGTGAACAATGTGACACGTTTGATTCCTAAGGTCAATGTGCACTTCGAAACGAGAACTGCTAAATCCCATATAGGGGAGAAATCAAAGCCATACCGTAAGGTTGCATTTTATTCACGTGAAAATGGCCTCACGTTTGTAGATTTTTTCCATAACTGTGCTGCAATTTTCGTAGCATTTATTGCACAAACTTTTCGGCGAATAAGTGCATTGCAAACATTACAGAACACGCACTTTGAACAAAGCAAAGCAAGCGAGAAGTATAACTTGCGAAGTGATGAGCAGAGTCCAATGGGAAATCCTCCCCAGAGAGTGGCTACATCAAAGCGATATTCTGAGCTACTCATAAGGATTTCGAGAAATCTGGTATTACCCATCAAATCGAACACATCTGATCGAATTATAAGTGAAAAGTACAAATAGATGGCAGCCTCTCTTTAAAAGAGGCAGTGGTGCCTCCAACTCTACCAGTGAGGTGATCAATTTGCTTTTAAATGTTTCGCTTCAGTTGATTCAAACGTTAAAAATTCAATTTACACGCGCTCGGGTGGGGGGTTAAATTAACCCCCTCCCAAAGTTTTTTCCAGAATGGTTTCCGAACGGCGCGGCGAGGCCGCGCCAAATTTTGCATAGCTGTAGACAACTGAATAGCAGATCGATCTGCATCAAAAATTCAAATGTTCCCTGCAGGGTCGCTGATCTATGGCAGGTCAAAGTCAGGCCATGGTTTTAGCAAAGTCAATTTCTAAGGAATCGTTCAGTCTGATGCAACTGCGGAATATTAGACGAAGCCATGCATCTCTGAGATACTTCCTCAGGCGACACAACAATTAAATGTGCAAATTAAATTGACCTAAGGTCAGGTAAAAAGATCAGATCAAATTCAAAACCAACCTGTTTCATTACTCAAAGGCTTGCTGTATGGGATAGTTTCTGGTGCTCATTTCGAATGCATTGATAGCAGGAATCGCATTATGCATCTTTCATGGATCTCTTGGAGGTCAGAATAGGTCGTTGACCTAAAATGACCCAGGTCAAAATTTTGTTTTCAAGAACGTACTGGCTAGCGTAAAACAGTCGAGTTTTGGCTTATGAATGCTCACAGGTTGTTTTTCGAAACTTTCTTTTCTAAGCTGAAAGTAGCGTTGAACATCAGCAGGGGCATATTTCATCACTGAAGCAGCAATATGTGAATCATGATAAATTGAAGTGTCATTTACAACACAAACATTCATATTTCTCTGCCCCGCAAAATGAGTTCCCGGCAAAAGTACCTGCAAATTGCCCTGTCTAATGGGACGGTGCGGGCAAGACTGGTTCAATTAAGTCAAAATGTCGACTCTAGAACGCAAAAGCCCTCTTTAACGCTTTAAACTTCCACAAAGCGATGGGCTAAGAGATTAACAGTCGGCAACGACATTATGCGTTGTGAATTTCGCCACCGAAATCCATGCGAGTTTCAAAATCCAGGCTTAACACGCGCGCGGGCGTAAGTCAGCTCCTCCACCCCGCAACGTTTCTCAGAACAACTTCCGAACAGCGTAGGGGGGCCACGGCAAAATTTCCGCAGCTGTCAGCAATTGAATAGCGGGCCTTTTCGTATAATAGACAATATGTACCTCCTAAAGTCTCTGGCGTATGGTAAGTCAGTCAGCCCGCGGCTGTCAACTAGGACAAATTCCTTTTTTATAAATATATATATATATATATATATATATATATATATATTGATATATTGATATATAATATGCATTCAAAAAAGATCTAGATAATTGTTAATATGATGCGGCCAAGGGGTGTTAGACGGCATCTAACATTCCTTAAAGAAACTATCCCTGACATAGTTTCTTCAACAATCCGGCAATTTAAGTTTTGGTACCGATGAATTCTATTGACCTTCGGCCGGGTATGAAGGTTGAACCGAAGTAAAAACAAGCCTGCTTTTTAACCTGCTTATGTTTATTGCGGATTTCTCGAAAGCAGGGACGGCAACAGCATCTTCCAAGGGCCTCATAAAGGTCTTAGTAGGTCATTTAACATAAATCACCAATATCAAACGTCTTTTTTAGCAACATGTCACCAAGCGTAGTTATTGACGCATGTTGAGATTCAAAACTAACGTTTTCCTAGATTTTTGAAAACCATGACCTTCTTTGGATGAAACAAGGACAATCACCCAAAAACACTTGTAAACTTTTTCTTAGAACAGATCCCCAGGCTCCAGGCGTTTTCATGTGGAAGTATTGGGAATTTTGGACACCAGCCTGGAATTTGACCTTGTTTTGTGTTATTTGACCAGGAGGCCATGACCTGGGGTTTTCAACCTTTAATATGAATTAGTTCATTCACAGGCCGTGCCATATTGTGGATTTAGTGTCCTTAGCTCTCTTGGTGTTATATCTCAGGGATCAGGGTGACCTTCCACCCAAGCGAGCGGTATCCAACCGGTGTCAAAGGAAGTGTCCCACATTTGCATAGGGTTTTGAAACGAAAAAGTCATTTTGAAGATCACTCGGGGAAGTTCACAGCCTTGTAATTCTTAAGGCCTAAATCCCTCCAGTTTCTGAGCTACATGTCCGCGAAGATGCGCATGCCATTTCAAGATCATTCAGGCATGTATCCTCACATAGCAGCATCACTCAACTCCTGTCACACCATTGGCCATGCGACGTTCAAGGCCAAGAAGAAAAAATCGTCAAGCTGATCATATCTGGCATTCGTGGGCACGACTTCTAGATACGATGTACGCCAATTGGCCCTCAATCAATGTTACAGGGAGCGACCCACCTTTGGAACATACTTTTTATAAATGATCAGGTGGACCCTAATGACCTGACATGCATGTTCGTAGCTCGACTTAAGTTATTTTGGAGTCCAAATTACGTGGATCACATTTCAGACCAACACTGGACTGTATGCCTAAGGCCTTGGACAATTCTAGCGCATTCGAGACGGAGTTCACCATTGTGAGCTTCATAATTCTTTTGGATGATTGTTGAATTTTGCACACCAGATGTAAATTGCTAATAGAAGACTTTCAAGGTGTCAAAATTAACCTTGTTCAACAAGCGATTGTTTGCTTTCACAAAATATTGCATGATAATTAGGAAGAACGACAGTGCAGTTCGCGACGGATCATCTGCTCAGAGACAACAGTCAGAAGCTGTAATTGTTTATTGAGATACGCCATTGGTGGCCCGTTACCAGTGAAGAAACAACATGCATTATTTTGTGCCTGCCATGTCTCATTGGTGCAAATAAAACACCCAACGCCTTCTTCTACGCTGTATTCTCGTAAGCATGCAAGTGAAAAACTCGAGAGGCTGATGAACAGCCAAGATTGTACATTTTGGGTAAAGTAAATCAGAAATCATGATGATGCGCTCTTACTGCCACAGCAAACTAAACAAACAGGTCGGTGGAGTCAATTTTCCGCTGTGATGTTGTCATTTCATTTGGTTTTGTTGTAAGCACAAGTGGGAACGGCTAAATACACCAAACGCTGTGCCGATAACACACTAACACACAGATAAACGTAACACACAAACATCAAACACACACACACACACACACACACACACACACACACACACACACACACACACACACACACACACACACACACACACACACACACACACACACACACACACACACACACACACACACCACACACACACACATACACACACACATACACACACACACACACACACACACACACACACACACACACACACACACACACACACACACACACACACACACACACACACACACACACACACACACACACACACACACACACACACACAAACAA